AATTGGTCTATAAATATAATGTATTTCCCACCAAAGACTTATTAAAGGTTTTCCCAGAAAACAAATAGCTTGATTTGAAAATGTACAGGAAAGAACAAAATCCCAAGAAGAGTCAAGCAATTTTTGAGGAAGACCAAGGCTTGTTAGAAAGCTGTGGGAATTCGGACGTGGCACTATCGTGACAACAGATGACTCACACAGCAGGATAAATGAAATCCCACAGACTGACCACCCCATACACGTGGGACCTTGGTAGATAGCAGATCACCAGAAAGGGAGAGCCACCCCTGCTCCACACCACAGAACAAGGGCAAGGACAGTGAATAAAGGTGCAGGTGATACAAACTGGAAACTGAAAACTGGGGGACAAAGGGGACAGAGGCAGTTACTGCTAGAGAAGGACAGGGTGGGTGATCCAGTATTTGATCTACTCAGGAGTGTGGCCACCTCAATTCAGTTACATCGAGTCAAGAGTCTAGGGGAAAACCATTCTGAAGCAGACCAGGAACAGAACCTCAGAAACACAAAAGTACTGACTGGCCTTTGGCTTATTTTCAAGCATTTATCTACAACTTGATGTGAAGAGATCAGAAATCTAGATACGCAAAGATGAGCCTGCTGGTTAAGAATCAGTACCTGGGTCAGTGAGAGAAAGAAGTTGCAGGGCACCCAAACCATCTGGGCATCAGGAAGAGCTGGCTTCCTCAGAGGGGTATTTGGGGATGGGGTCAAGGGTCAGGCCTATAGACTGCATAACAGAGGTGCTCAGCGTTTTCTGTATTGGGTGCAGGGGCTATGTCTATCCTCTCTCCTTGAATCCAAGAACCAATAATTATAAAAACTCCTGTGTTATAACCAACAAGGGACCTGTTTCAGAAAAAAAAAAAAAAAGGTTGCCCATTAGAAAGGCTTGGGCACGATGAAAAGATTCCGTGCTCGCTCGCAGCAAACAGAAGTCTTAAGGCCAGAACAGCAAGTGTGGAGAGACAACAACACCCTTCAGGCCTCACCACTGCAGCCCCAGCCAGGCTTGCTTTGTGGGGAAACACCACCAGACTGACCACAGGAAGAGTGCCATGCGAAACCTGAGCTGCTTCCAGGCACCCCTCTATGCTTGGGTGATGATGTTAAGATCAATTTCTAGTAAATTTGACTTGGGCTTTGATGCAGCTTGGGCAGTGTTGCATCTCAAATAAGCTCCTCTGGCATCTGGTATCTGACATGTGTTATCTGCATGGCATCAGTGAATCTGATAAGCATACTTCTAATTCTTCCAAAACAAGGAATTTATTGGCTATGCTGTGCTCTGGTTCAGATAAAATCCTTGTGGGCATTAATGAATTACTGACAGATTTTCATGGTCCCTCTGAGAGCTCTGGAATATATATCTCTCGATGCTAAAAAAAAAAAAAAATCCTTTCCTGAAGTGCATGAGCGTAAAGATCCTGCCCTATTTTTCTTCTTTATGGGCTTAAATGTCATTTATTTACAAAGACTTAGATTAGGTAATTCCTTACCCTGAAGGCTAGGACTGCCTTAAAAATAAAAAAAAGAGGAAAAAATGTCAGTTGTTGTCTTAATTAGCAACAAGAAGAGGCAAGCCCATTGTGAAGTTTAAAGTATTTATGTCTCTAGCCTTCCGGCACACTTTCTCTTCCCCATGAAATCACAAAATTATTTTAATTCTTTAGTGACAGTGTCTGTAAGCCACCCTCAGGGCACTGGACAGGACTTCTGACTCTGAGAGTGCAAGTGAGTCAGAGGGGCTTCATGCTTTCTTCCTAGCTCATCTATCTTGGAGTGTATTTTGGGCTTACTGTTTTTTTTTAGTTTGTTTTTTTTAAGACAATGTCTTGCTATGTAGCCAGGCTGGCCTTGAACTTGAGATCCTCCTGCCTCAGCCTCCCACATGCTGGGATTTTAGGCCTATGCCTCCATGCCTGGAAAATTTAACTTTTAAAAACATATTCACCAGCAAGGTCTTTTGCAGTCACCCTGAGGTGTGTATGTCCTTGTCCTGCCTCGAGTTCAGACATTCACTACTGTGAACAAGGCTGGCCTCTGTAATTTCTCTGCATTTCTCTCCACAGCACACTGCTGGTCTTTCTACCCTTCAGCCACTATGGCCCTGGATTTACTCTGTATGGCTGCAGGGCCTAATCAACTCCTAAATTTCAACTTGTATTCCAACGTCCACTGACGTGTTCCAGCAAGAGCTCAGCAACTCCCTCCCAAATTGGACCTTCTTCCTGAACCTCCTGCTGTGGACTCTGCACCTTCTACTCCCCGCTCTCCCTCTCTGCTATCCAAGTAGCCTCAAGTCCTTCCTTAGTCTGGCAAAGCTTTCTAAATAAATGGTATTTAAGCCCATACAGGAAAAAATATAGGACCATATCCTTGTGTTTATGCACGTCAGGAAAGGATTGATGTATCATGAGATATACGCTAGAGAGTTCTCAGAGGACCCATGATAATCTGTCAGCAATTGATTACCCCTGAGGGGCAGAGCTCAGAGTCGCCCTTGTTGCCTGACTGCAGTGTATGAGCCTCACTGGAGCCCTGCTAAAGGCCAGCCAGGCCACAGCTCACAGGCAGAAAGCAGGGAAGCTGGTGGGTGGGGCAGAGGTGTGTGACCCAGAGTTACAAGGAGCAGATGCACAGGGAAATGAGACTGCAAAGCCTCATAGAAGCAATGCAGAGAAAACTCACTCTAGGGACCAGAGCCAGGCTGGAGGGTGGGTGAGGAAGAGGATAGCAGAGTCTAGAGATACTCCTAGAGACGAGAGTGAACAGGTGAGAAAGCAAGAGTCAGACAGAGCTCCAGATGAGCCAGGTTCAGAGAACAGGGATGGGTCCTGGGCAAAATATCCTCAGATAAGAAAAGGTGGTCATGCCGCTCAAGTGTAAGCCCCTCCAAACCTGTTCTCCAGGAAGGCTGGGCAGCTCACTAACACAAGCACTTCTCTCAGCCTCCAAGCCCACCCTCTCTCATCTGTATTCTTTTCAGATACCAGAGTTATTTTCCAAAACCCAGATCCCTGTAATGATGTCCCCATGTCAGGATACACCACAAACTCCTGCTGAGGATCCAAGCCCTTCTTTGCCTCACCCAACCCTCCATCCCTGCACTTTTCTGCCCCCAACCCCTACTTCTCCTCTGGCCATACCCACTGCCCTCCCAGGCCTCCATAGCCCTCTTGAGGACCTTCCCAGGCCCTTCAGGGACTGTTCTTCTGGCCAAATGCCCTGTCTTTGGCTGTACCTCAGTTCCCCCTAAGAATTAAAGGTATGAGTCCTGGGGTATTGTCAACTTATTCATGGCCATCAAGTGTAAAGACTGGTACCATAAACTCCAGAGAGACTACTGACTGAGGCCTCTTGTTCCTAGTAACTCCTCAATACATTTTTTCAGTACTTTATTTTTGAGTTAGCATACACTCATAACACAAAGGAGATTCTCTATGATAATCCATGCATGCGTACAGTGTACCTTGAATAGGTTCACTGCTCTGTTATATTCCACCCCCAGCCCCCTCTCAAACAGTACTTGGTGGGTTGCCCTGAGCTGACTGGCAAACTGCCCTATCTACTTTTCCAAGACCCGGGTCCCCTAGCGCCACCTCTCCCAGTGTGCCTAAGCAGCTGAGCTAGGCTCTCCCTGTCGTGAGCAGCCTGCACCTGGCACTGCTCCAGCAGGCCTCATGTATAGAATAATTTCAGAATTCCTAATGACTGACAAACCCCAAAACATGCAGCCATGGATAGGTCACAGTACAGGCTGGTGGGGAATGTGCTTCTATGCTGCTGACCACATCTGCATGGTGATGGACACATCATAACTAAATCATAATAACTGTTTCAGTTTCTCCAGGGTAACTGGAAGAGATGACGACAAATACTCCCTCAGATTGGTTACTCAGAAACTTACTGTTATTCTACACAGGACAGTAACATTTAGATAGAATTGAGCCCCAAAAAAAGAAATGACCAAACCATATTTTGCATCAGGAGACATAATTATGAAGAGTCACAAAAAAAGTGGTTGGGGCCCCTCCTTTCCTAATTCTAGTCATTTAATTTTTTTTTTGACTATTCAAGAGGCTATGGTGTAAAGAGCCGAATATGCATGTTTATAACAGGGAGGTACAGGATGAGGGGAAGTAGGACCTAACATAGCTCCACATGATCTGAGTTCCCAGGGAAAAGGAGGATGTATTTTCCAGTACATGCATAGACAGCACACTGCACAATGTCAATATCCATCCTTGTGGCTAGCTTATTAGAAAGCATCCCTCATTTTAATTTTAAAGTATTTAAGGTTACAAAGCACCAACGGAATCTAAACCTCAAAATTACGGACTATTCGGATTTAGCATCATATAAGCAATAAAGATGCTAAGAATATGGGAAAAAACACATATAACAACCAAGGCCAAGAGAGCGAGCATTGAGAAGCAGGGGGTCTTTGAAGTGAAATGGCTCGACAGTCTGTCCAAATGCACTCCATTCCTCACCTGGAAAACTGGGCCCGTGCTCACTGTGAGAGGATGAGGAAGACTGAAGAGTTATAATAAAGAGAGGCTGGGTCATTATTCTACACATGACTACATGCTAGGATTATGATTCTACAGCTTAGGAAGAGTAAGATAAAGAATCAGAAAACAATAAAAACAGGAGAAAACACCAATCATCACATCCCAAAGGACAGTATATATGATAATACCGGTGAGTATTCCTTATCCAAAATGGGTGGATAAGTAAAACAAGAGTCAAACAAGAAATCCATGTATTTTCCACAGACGACTCACCTACACATATAGCCTGGAGACAATTTTATATGATGTTTTTAGTGCACCTGGGTTTTGACTATGACTCATTACATGAGGGCGGGTGTGGAACTTTCTACTTGTGGTATCATGCCAATGCTCAAAAAGTTTTGCATTTTGGAGCATTTTAATTTTTTGGATTAGGGAAACTCAGCCTGTGCTAGTGCTTCCTACCTGCCCAGTCTGATAATGTCTGGCAAATTGGTTAATCACTCGATAGTCACTTGAAAAGTACTCCATCAGAATAGAAGGAACCTCAGCAAAGTCAGTGGGGCACCTGGTTCCTAAGGTGGAGAGAAAAACAAAAACTGGTATGAGTTAGATCAACATATATACCTTCCTTTTATTTGTACTTTTGATGAAACAGAAGCTTTCATTTATTAAATCAATATTTTATGTCACAAAAAAGCTTATTATAATCCTACATATTTTTCTTTATATCAAAAGTAAAACAAAATATTTGCCTAGCTGTTAAAATACCTTATAAAGTGATGGCAAACAGACCTGCGTTCTGCTATATTGGCCATATAAGAAATGCAAATTAAAATATTCTTACAACCAATATGGCATTTGTGTTTAACTGACCCAATTCTGTTATCACATGCCTTTGTTTTGAAAGTACTATATTTATCTATTCATTGCTTTTTTAAGATGAAGTCAATATTCAGTGAGAAAAATCAACATTTTAAACTAAAAATTCCTTAAAGCAATAAATCCTGTGAGAACTTTTCGTGTCATTTTGTGATTCTGTTCAGCCCACCCAGTCTTTGCAAATATCTTCTCTTTGCCTAAACACTGTGTATGTAAAGTTAGTTAACCAGTAATGTATGCAAATGGTTTACCAGGTGGTCAAGTGCTGATTATTTATGGTAGTGAGAAGAAAGTCTAGAGTATAGGAAAAACAAAAAAGACTTTATTTTGGTTTTTAATGAAATAGATGGAGATTTACTTTAGATAAAGAAGCAACATTATTCACTTATTCACTCAATAATCATGTGCAAGGGACTACAGAGATACATATTTATTCTCACACACAGCCACAGACTTAAATGCCATGCAAAACACTATAAAGTATAAAAGGTACAAACTCAAAAGACAGACAACTGAGACCTATTCCTGATGAGAGCAGTTAGCAAGGATGGAAAAAACATAAAAGGATCTCAGGTTATATAACAATAACAAGATAAGGCAATCAGAGATAAAAGGACCACAAGGCATTATTAAATGGTCCCATTTTCCAATTTAAAATATTAATGTCTTAAGGGACTATATTACATGGAAGCCCTCTTCAAAGCTCACCAGTGACGTGTTGGTACCGAGTCCGTCCCAGCATGGAGTGCATGGCATGGCCCATTTCGTGGAAGAGGTTCTCCATCATTCCGGGAGTTAATAAAGTAGGTGAATTCCTTGAGGAATGAGGAAGACTCAGCATGAGAACTACAACTGGGAGTTGATAGTCTCCGTCTGCCTTCAGTCGGCCTCCTCGAATTGTAAAATGGCAATCCTTTGAGAATGCAAACACAGGAGACAAAAGTTTCAGTACTCTAAATAGTAGCAAAGTCCCAAAGAAACTAACTGAAATATGTAGGATCAAGCTTGACCTTGTTCTATGTCGATATAGTCACTTTATCTCAACACTTTTTATTCTGTTAACATTTTAACTTTTAAAACATTAACAACACATTGACCTGATTTTGATTCTTTCACCCACTCCAAAATCATGCACTGAACTGAGGCTGTTTCAGATGCTATCACCACAGCCGTAAGGAGCTCAAGGTGTTCACGGTAGGCGGGAAATGAGATATCAGACTCAACTACATTGAGTGCCTACTACATGTCAGACAATCAGAGGACTTCATGTCTGCTAACGGACCACGTGGAAGTGGTGGCCCCAGTATCTAAAGCCAGGAGTCTAGAGCAGGTACTATACCGTGGTCACACACTCATTACTTACTTCTCACAACAACCCAAGGAGGCAAGTGACAAAACTAAAACTGGGCCTTGGAAATGTTAAGTGCCACATCCAAGGGCACCCAGCTGGAATTGCTGCATCTTGGGTTTGAGCCCGGGCTGACTACTGAGAGTCAGGACTGCTGATTACTAAGCTGGTACCTCTGCCACCACTCAGGTAGAGGGAAGAGCAGGTCTCAGAGCCAAGTGACCTGCACTCTGATCCCCTCTTTGACACCTACTAGCCAAGTCATCTTGGAAAGTGATTTGTCAGAAAGTAGAAAGTGACCCTGTCACAGCCCAGAGAGGTAACAAAGCCTTCCTAAACTTACATCTGTTAAAATGCTTTAGAGACAGGCATGGTAGCTCACGCCTATAATCCCAGCTACTTAGGAGGCAGAGATTGGGGAAATCACTGCCTCAGAGGGGCTGGGTTCAGTGGCACATGCCTGTCATCCCAGCTACTCGAGAAGCACAAATAGGAGGATGGTGGTCCAGGCCAAGCAGGGCATAAAGTGAGACCCTGTGTCAAAAATAAGCACTGCAAAAAGGGCTGGCAGAGTGGCACAGGTGGTAGAGCCTGCCTAGCAAGTGCACGATCCTGAGTTCAACCACAATACCATCAAAAAAACCCGAAAAACAAAGAGAATACCGTAGAAGTTGTGAATAACTATTTGAACTAAGATACCATTATTTCTGCTGTAACTCATCACCTGAACTCTTGACTCTCCCAGCAAGTGGGATGAAACTATTGAAGCTGACCAGATGGCAATGCTAGTATTCAGCTAAAGGAAGGAAACCAGCTTCCCATGTTCCACGTCAAGAGCTGATAGACGGGTGGCACAGATTCCATACAACCACACTGTCTGCAATTTCTTACTTTTTTTTTTTGTTTTGGCAGCACTAGGGATTGAACTCAAGACCCTCATGCTTGCTAGGCAGTTGATCTACCATTTGAGCCACACCCCCAGTCCTTTTACTTTTTGGTTGATTTTTCAGATAGAGTCTCATGATTTTGCCAAAGCCAGACTCAGACCATAATTCTCCTACCTCCATCTCCTCCATAGCTGAGATTACAGGCAGGAACCACCCCACCTGGCTCTGCAATTTTAAACTGGGTTCATTGCTGAGACTGGAAAGGGGTTGAGAGCCAGGGCTCCAGCTAGAATGTTTGGGTTCAAAGCCTAGCACTTCTACTGTGCCTCTGGGAAAGTATATAACCTTTCTGGCCTTAGTTTTCTCGTAATGTTGGAGCTTAGCTCAAAAGGCTGAAGTGAACCTTAAAAGGTGTGAAAGTATAAAGGGTCCCGTGCAGTGGTTAGTGAAAATAAGTTTATAACTCGTCAGCTGTCATCATCATTTTCCATGACTCCATCATTTTCAATTCTGAGGTTCAAATTTACCATTTTAGTAATTGCTTAATAATATTATAGAACAATAAAAGTGATACGTAAAGTTCACATTAGTACAAGTGCTGGTCACTTCTAGGCAAAGCAGTCTGTAAGGAAAGGCTCACCTGGTGTGGTTTGCCTGCTCGCTGGAAAAAATCACAGTAAATGTACCCCAACAATCCTTCAGAGTCATGAACGACAGCCTAGAAAACAGCTGTAACGTTAGTGGTGAGCGAGACCATCAGAAACTCTAAAAATGGAAAACAGCCCTCATTCAACCCCCTGTACAATGACCATCCACAGGCACACATGTGTAGTCACCTCTGTACCCCCACAGTACTTCAAGATTGTCTCGTTGCCCTGTCCTCTTTTGCTCCATCTCTTGCAATTTTCATTTGGGATTCCTGCATCCAGGAGAGGAAACCTGCTTGTGAAGCCTTTGTCCTAACTGCCTTTACGTCCTTTACCACGTCTGTACCAACCACAGCTCTTCACAGAAGACTGTTGTCGAACAACCCAAAAGACTTGGGAACAAGTGCTGGCTGGACAATTTTAGCAGCAAAATTATTTTCCCTGCATAGTATCTTAAAATGCAATCATATATGCACTTGAAAATTACAACTGCTGAATTAAAAAGCAAGTGCAGTGGTCAGCTTTCATGAAACTCAGTAATAGTTACTTATTCTCTCTGAAAAGGAGCCTATGAAAGAGGCACAGCCGAGAGGAGTCTCTGCCTTGTTTTCTCTGAACTTGGTGACTTTCATCAGAGAGAAGCCCTGTCCTGTCAGTCTTGCTTCACCAGTTTTCTTTTCATACCATCTCTGCGTTTTACTAATTTCTCTTTTCAGTAACAGGTACTTAGTGGGTACTTAGTGAGATTCTTTCAATCCATCTACCACATCTAGCCCATGCTCAGAAATGAAGCCAAGGAGCAATGGAGCAGCATACACTACATGGAAGAGGGAAATGAGTAGAGCATGGTGAGCAGGCCAGCTACGAGCCACACCACACAGACTCAGGATAGACGCACGGGTGGAGAATCCTCCAGTTCTGAGGAAAAATTAAAATTATTCACATCCCAAATTCAGGGCACCTTATAGGAGAAGGATGGACCGGGGCTTAAAGTTATTGTGGGAGAAGCCAAATAAATCAGGCCACAAAATAATGTTCCACTTCCCTACAACACAGGAAGGCGGGTGGAAAGAAAAGATTGGATTTTGGACATAACTGAAAGGGACACTTTGCACTGAGGTGAACACAGAAGTAATGACAAAGTTTGCTACAGCTGGAACGAGTGGATGTATGCGGGTGCATCTAGGAAGATTCACCCTTCTACCTCTGCTGTTGTACATTTCACTCCTAGTCAGACATGGCAGTTGGAACACCTCCACCAGTGCAAGGCTAATGCAATGGGCACTACACAGACGGGGCTCACCAGCTTTCGGACATCCTCACTCCACACCTCTCCTTTTGCAGGCTGTTCTGCATACAACGAAATGCCCAGCAGCTTGTTAAACAAAATGTTCAGACCTTCCATGCATGCTCCCAGTGAGAAAAATGGGCAGTATAAACTGGGCTCAATATTGTATCTAAGAGAAGGAAAGAGAGGCAACAGTCATTGTGATTTCTCAAGGTAAATTCAGTTAACTCTTCACTGAACTTAGAAAAAGAGGATGCAAAACATAAGGTATACAGCTGGCTGTCCATATCCTTAGGTTCCACATCAAGGATTTCAGCAACCTTGGCAGAAAACATTTGGGGAAAACTTTGTACTGAACGTATACAGACTGTTTCTTCTGGCCATTACTCCTTAAACGGTTCAGGACAACAACTATTTACAATGTATTAGGCACTACCAGCAGAGATGACTTAAAGTCTATGAGAGGATGTGCATGGGACTGTCAAATACAATTGCCATGTTATAGAAGGCACTTGAGCTTCCTGAGATCCTGGACCATGCCCCAGAAGACACTGAGGGAGGACAGCACTCCACCACTGGAGGGCGCTCAGATTCATCTTTCTCCCAAAGAATGGGACTAGGGCTATTTGAGTGGCTCAAGTGGTAGAGTGCCTGCCTAACAACTATGAGACTCTGAGTTCAAATCCCTGTACCACCGCCCCCTCCCTGCAACAAACCTTCTGAAGAATGGAACGCTGGCCATTGCTAACAGTACAGTGATACCATGGCTCAGGTGGACATGGCAGCCCCCAGGCTTGATCTTTCTCTGACTTACTCGCTCCCTGACCTCATCACCCACACTGCACATGCTTTTACACAGACTGTATTCAAAACGTGACCGCTTCCAATTATGACGACAAACTTCACTTTAAGAGTGTGCTATATTCTTCAAAAAAAGTGTGACTGACAGTACACAAATATTAGACAAATAAAATCCTGAGGTACACTAAGTGAATTTAAAGTTCTCATCTGGAGAAATATTTGTTTATGGGGAAAAAATGCCTGAAATATAAACAGATTTGAATGTATCCATTTTATAGTTATATATCTTGAATTGAGGGTGACATAACTAGTAAGTCTAATTATCCTTCATCCAAAAGTAACTTTTTAATGCCCTACACACTCCAACACAAACTAAAGCAAATTCAAAATATGTGATTCAAATGTTCATTTTGAGTCATTAAATCATGCCAAAATTTATAATAACCATAGCCAAAAATAATGGCTCTAGGAAAATTATACTCATTACATTTCCACTGAGTTTAGCAAATTTATATACAAAATATATGTATATAATAATAATGATGCATTCTTATTATTTGTGACATTCTTATCTATTTGTGTAATAGGTTTGCACAAATATATTACTAAATGAATGAGATTTTGTGAGTAAACATGGGTTGCACAAATGAGATTTTGGTGACAGAAATTCACAAATGTCCAGCACAACTTCTGATCCAGTTTTCCTAAAAGCAGAACTCTGGTACCAAGGGAGACTTCGGTGATCTGAGCCTCCCTCACTGCTCATTCCCTCCCATCTGTTGCCTGGATGTGGAGGAAGGGGAAAATGAGTCCTGTCTCTCCAGAGCTCACAGTGAAGGAGGCAGAGGAGTGAGTCTGACGTGTGAGCATACAACAGGTGCTTAATAGCTGGTGCTGAGGGAATTACCAGGAGCCAGGGGAAGGGAGAGAGTGATTGCTGCACTGGGGAGGGAGGGAGACCAAGCAGGGCCTTACAGACAGGATGGGAGGTGGCTAGAAGAAGCAGCAGAAGTATGACAGTAACTTCTAGAAAAGATATGGTTTATGGTACAGAGACAAAAGGGGAAAAGCCTGAAAAGAGTGGAACAAACAGGCAGGCCAGAGAGCAGATGCCTGGGCCAGCACTGAGGAGCTAGGCCTGTGCATAGCCGGTACTTGGTCACTGAGCCTCTGGCCATGCACTCCATCAACAGGGTACTCTGGAGAAGTCAGCCTTCCATCCGTGTGGTTGTAACTTACGTGCACATGCTATCATTCTAGCAAAACAGAAAGGACACGTCTTTAAAAGCTGAGCTAAAATGAACGTAAACAGAATTCTCACATTTTATGTCCGCACTCTCAGGCAATGTCAGCAGATGCCTGGTGGGGGCCACTTCTACAGGCCACAGAGTACTTTGACCTGCTCTGTGGCACAGTGGCAATGGGGAGAAGGTGGAAAGGGTTAGCCCAGGGCTTCTCACAACCAACTCCTGAGGGTCTGAATGTGGGCTGTGAGGTGAAGGATGAGAAAGAGGTTTGAATTTATTTTCTGGTGAGAGGTAAAGGTATGTAAGCACTGAAGTAAGGATGAGAAGACAGAAAGTCTGGGGTAAGACACCCAGGTGTCTGGTGTGAGGACAGGGGAGGCAGGGGTTTTATACAAACTACACCCCTGGTGGTTGGGGAGGGCGGCACCAAGTTTACAATGAAAAGCTCCAGGGTTGCCCAATCGTGTAGGGACTCCCGTACTTGGGCGAGTTTATCCCCAGGAGCCCTCCTGGCTCACCACAGTTCAGATCCAGAGAAATTTCCATCAGGAGAAAAGGAACCATTTTGAAATATGCCAGAATATTCTGGGGTTGTTTGCATGTCTGTTTTTTGTTTTGTTTTTGTGGAACTGGGGTTTAAAACAGGACCTCAATCATGTGCTCTGCTACTTGAGCCACACCCCCAGTCCTTTTGTTTGTTTTTTGTTTCTGAGACAGGGTCTCCCTGACTTTGCCTCGGCTGACCTGGAACTCATGCTCCTCCAACCTCCACCCCTGGGTAGCTGTAATTACAGGCATGTATCACTATGTCTGACTCATTCTGTTCTTAAAGGAAACTACTTTACCAAAACCTAGCGGAACTGGAAAGGGAAATACCTAGACCAAACATCCTCCAAAACTCCCAGCACTGAGAAGCACTTGTGAAGGCCACAGCCCAGCACACAGGCACCAACAGACAAGACCTGACCACTGGACTCAGAACACACCCTTTCCCCACACTCTTACTATGTCCCCAACAGCACTCCATACAACACAGGGTATATAACTGAGAGAGCGGTCCAGGTCAAGTCTACTTATGAAGAAATCTCTAGGGAAACAAAAACACAAGTCAGACAAGAACAAGGACACCAAAGGAAAGCTCGCCTCCAAAACCACAGCTACCACAAAGAGTAAACACAAGCAACCCCAAGCAGAAAACATGAACATGAGGGCAAAAGCCAATTGACCTGGTACATCACGCCATGCATTTAACAAAAGATACAGGGAAGCCAGGTGTGGTGGCACAAGCTGCAAACCCAGCACTCAGGAGACTGAGACAGGAAAATCTCAAGTCTGAGACCAACCTGGGCCACAAGAGCAAGTTCAAGGCCAAACTGGGTTACATAATAAAACCTTGTCTCAAATAAAAAAAGCTAGACACAATTGCTTACACCTGTAACTCCAGCTACTTGGGAGGTAGATGAGGACAGTTTAAGGCCAGCAGGGACAAAAAAGTTAGTGAGACCCTATCTCAATAACAAGCCAGGCATGGTGGTGTCCACCTGTGATCTCAGCTATAAGGGAGGCATAGGTAGGAGGAACTTGGTGCACAGGTGATGCTATGGGAAGGTGCTGTGGACCTTCAAATGTGGAGCCTAGGCTAAACGTAAAGAATAAGGTCATAAAGTCAAGTTCAAGCCGTAGATAGAACATGAATGAACAGAAACAAAAATTTAATGGCATAGCGTTTCCTAGATTAATCTGATTATCAAAGACGGTTGAATACACCTTTTTTGTTGCCAAGTGATTAAATAACCCCTACAAAAAAGTAAGAGAAGAAAAACAAGCTTTATATCTTAAAATTGAACTTTCTTAAGATTATAATCACCAAGTCAGGCACCGGGGCTCATGACAGTAACCCCAGCTACTTGGGAGGCTGAGATCAGGAGGCTCGAGGTTCAAGGCTAGCTCAGACAAATAGTTCATGAGACCCCATCTCCAAGTAACCAGAGCAAAATGACTCAAATGACAAAGCATTTGCCTTGCAAGCAAAGCCCTGAATTCAAACTCAAGTCCCAAAAAAAAAAAAAGATTGTAATTGCCAGGCATGATAGAGCACACGTGTATTTCCCACACTTGGGAGACTGAATTAGGAGGACTATGAGGTCAAGACCAGCCTTAAAAAAAAAGTTATAATGGATACGTAACATTTTATAGAAAATACACCTAGTAAAGCTAATGGCAACACAGTTTATTTTATTAACCTGTAACCTAAACTACCTAATGCCCATGTGTGGCAGTCAGGCATCACTCAAGGAAACAATTTAACTTGAACAAAGAAAAACATGCTTGTAAGTCGTGCAACTTCTAAGTGCAACCTCAATTCTGTCCACATTGAATGAAATTATGACTGTGAAAAGCAACCGGTACTAGCACAAAATGTCAGTGAAGAAATGTAGTGATACAAATTCCCTGCTTTTGAAAAAAGGAACCACTCAGTGGGACAGCCACATGTGCTCAGCCCACACAAGGCCCTGGGCTCAACCCCGAGCACCACCACCTCATACAGCAAGAAGTATGCCAAGGGCAAAAAAGCGTGTTGTTTCTCTCCCTGGCTTACCATCCTGTCCCCTAGTCACTTTGTATGTGGAAGCCCTTATGGTGTTTTCCATGCACATCCCTACCAAGTTTTACATCCGAAGACAATTTTATACAAATACAATCACAACATTCACACTAGTCAGACTGTAACTTCCTTCTTTAACTAAAAATACACAAGCAACATGTGTACTTTCATATTTTGGTATTTTTTCATAAAAATACCATTTGAAAATTTCCCATTTCAGGCAGGAAGCTCTACCTCATCCTTCTTCCCAAGTGCGGAATCAACTGGAGCACACTTAGCACAACTTCCATCTCCTTCTCTGCGGTGCACGTGGTCAAGGGAGGGAGGCCAGGGACAGCGGAGCCAGAGGGGAATGGTCCCTCATCACTGACTTTCTTGCGATTGCCCCGGTGATAACAAAAGGGGAGCAGGCTTTAATCCTAACTTCACTATGGTAGTGCATCTACATGCCCACGCCCAGAGCTCAGCTCTGGGTCCACCTGATTCCATTCCTACCAGACCCAAGCACTTTAGTAA